CTCATGAGATTTTCAGTGGTTGTGCTCTGTCCTTGATCACCTCAGAGTATAGGGATGTTCTGCCCATGTCTTAATTCCCCATCAAAATAGGACAAAATTAGATCCTAAAACTGCGGAGTCCATCTTCATAGGATACCCACCACATGGTAAGGGATACGATTTTTATAATCGACACATGGGCTATCCTTCAGGGTAGGGACGTTCATTTCCTTGAGGAAGAAATCTTCAAGGGCCGTGCGACTTTGAAATAAGCTGAGTTTCATGAGATAGAAAGTGACACAAGTCAGGCCTTGGATCCCGAACCATCTCGTCCTAGGAGAAGTATCCTAGGAGAAGTAACCGAATTAGGAGAAAATTCTTAGTTGAAGCATATATTTAGTCCCTGAATTGTGTCTATTGTTTTTGGCAGTAAAAAGAAAGATCCTTGGTTGTACTGAGGGGTTTTATTTCTTATTTGTATTATGTGGCATTTATAAGTAGAATTCAAATTATTAACAAAAGTGAAGAGATTTTTTTTATTTTTTTTAGGATTTTATTCCCTTGAATTTCACATAGCCACTTCTTTTATCTATACTATGTTCTCATATCTAACATCCTCCACTTTAATGTTGTAAAATTTATTACCACTCTTGCGGGCATTATCTATCTTTTGACATAGCCACCTCACTGTCCTCATATCTTACATTCCCACTATTATTAAAATGAAATAACATCTATTATAGGTTTGTTATTTCTGTGCAAAGAAGTTGTATTCGTCTCTCCTTTTATGACTCATCTGACAGTTGGTTTCTGTCTTGAAGCTTTCCTCTATCCTTACAATGTCACAAGCTCAAGAGTTCTTTTTCTTTTGTACTACTTATAGGAAATTGAGGACTTCATTCAAGAAGTTTCAAATGCCTTGACCTAACGTTTGTGTTTAGAGATGAATTATGTAGGATTTAAAGTTTGTGTTTAGACCAGTGGTTTAAAAGTCGTCGAGTCGGCATGGAATCGGCCGATTTGACCAGGGAATCGGTCATTCCGTGTCGATACCTTTGTAAAATGGAGAATCGGCCGGTTCGAGAGAAGAACTGGCGATTCTGCACAGTAAATCGCTGCATGACGTAATGAATTGCCTGGTTCCCGGTTCTGTACACTACATGACATCATGAATCGTACAGGGCATTCTTGTAATTTTTTGAGTTAAAATGGGTCAATGGTGCTCAACAACCTCCAAGCCACGTGTCCTTAGCCACAAGCCCCACGCTACTTCATGCGTTTCACACGCATTAGGGGTTGGTACCAAAGTAGTATTTATTCCTGTCAATTTTATTCCGTGTTTTCGATGTGGGATTATTGTGAGTAATAGCTGAAATCGTAATATCATATAATCTTTGAGTCGGGCGAATAATAACACAATTCCGACTGTGGTGTGGTGGTTAGCACGCCCTTTTCTCACCTGGACTTCGCAGGTTCAAATCTTGGCAGGTTTCACGTCCTTTCGTCACAACTTTTTTTTTTTAAATTTCTTGTCAAAAAAATAAAAGTTTTTTTTCTTGTCAAAAAAATAAAAGTTTTTTGTAAGAAAAAATATAGTATGGTTCTTGTCAAAAAAAAAAAAAAGTAATACAACAAACTTTCTTTTTCTCGTCAAAAAAATATAAGTATAAAAGTTTCTTGTAAAACAAAAATACAAGGTTCTTGTGAAAAAAAAAAAAGTAATACAACAATTTCTTTTTCTTGTAAAAAAAATAAAAGTTTCTCGTAAAAAAAATATTTCTTGTCAAAGAAAAAAAGGTTATTTTTTTTAAAAAAGAAGAAGGTAATACGACAAGCATTTCTTGTAAAAAATAAATAAATAAAAGGTTATTGTTAAAAAAAATAAAAGTTCTTTGTCAAAAAAAAATAAAAGGTGATACAACAAGTATTTTTTGTCAAAAAAAAAATACAAAGTTGGATTTGTTATTATTTGTATAATGAAATAATTATAAAATGTAAACCAGCAATTTCAATTTCTGTATATAATATTATAGTTAGTTAGGTTGTAATAATTTTGGATATAGTTAGTTAGGTTGTAATAATTTGGTTTTTTTTTTTTTTAACGGATTGGGGTTCTCCGCTAATTTGGGATTTAAAATGTACTTTATTGTAGTCCATGTATGTTTATATATTTCATCAATGATAATTCTATGATTTTTCTTGTGTGATGTAGATTTAATGGTTAAAATAAGTTCACTAGTCTAAAAAACAGATCAATGCCTTGGATCGGGCACCCCAAAAAACCCATCCAGATCGGTGAATCGGTGTTCCGGATCGAGAATCGGTCTGATTAAACTTTAAAAAAGATCTAAAAAAGTATTAAAATTTATTGTAAATGTAGTTTCTTAGGAATCCAATAAGAAATCGAGGTACTACATTATTAATTTTCATCTTTTTCATCAATATGTGAATCTTGAGATGTTCTTTCCCGGTATGAGCTTATTTTAACCATTAAATTTACATCACACAAAAGAAAAATCATAGAATTATCATGGATGAAGTATATAATCATGCATGGACTACAATAAAGAATGGTTTAAATCGATGAAAAATGGCCCCCAACATCTCGAATTGGTGGAGAACCCTAATCCGTTAAAAAAAAAAAAACCCAAATTATTACAACCTAATTAACTATATCAAAATTATTACAACCTAACTAACTATAATATTATATACTGAAATTGAAATTATTGGTTTACATTTTATAATTATTTTATTATACAAATAATAATAAATCCAACCTTTTTATTTTTTTTGACAAAAACCTTTTATGTTTTTTTGACAAGAACCTTATATTTTTTTTTTCCAAGAAACGCTTATTTTTTTGAAAAGAAAAAGAAATTTTGTTGTATTACCCTTTTTTTTTTTGACAAGAACCTTATAATTCTTTTTTACAAGGAACTTTTATACATTTATTTTTTTGACAAGAAAAAGAAATTTTGTTGTATTACTTTTTTTTTTTGATAAGAACTATATATTTTTTTTACAACAAACTTTTACAAGAACCATATATTTTTTTGACAAGAACCATATATTTTTTCACAAGAAAAAGAAATTTTGTTGTATTTACTGTACAGAATCGCCGGTTCTTCTCTAGAACTTTGCGATTCTCTGTTTTACACAGGTATCGACACGGGATGACTGATTCCCGGGTCGAATCGGCTAATTCTGTGCAATCGGCTAATTCTGTGCTGACTCGGCGACTTTTAAAACACTGGTTTAGACCTACCTATGAGAGTGTAGAGGGCTCAGTGGTGATGATTTGAGATTTGTTTACGTAAACGAGGTTAGAATTGGCTTTCAGATGTACTTTTTAAAATCCCTAAATTATTGATTCGATATGTTAATAATCTTTATAATTTGGCACCTGATTCAAGTCGATTACACTGGCAATTATTTTCTACGGTATAGACCTGGTTATAAACTTATGTAGCAGGGCATGTAATTGGGGAGGTTGGTATGCAACACTTACCCCACAACAATGGGGAGATTGGTGTTATTTTATATCCAACTATTGGGTTAATTAGTGTCCCCCCTATTTCCTTGAACATGTATTTTAATGTCAAGTTATAGGCACTGGAGGTTGTTCTTGTATAGGGTTCTCTGTGTCTGATCTCTTAACGTAATTGTGTGCTAGGACTGAAATACTCCAACATCAAACTTACTTAAGGATTTCTCTTGGAGCCTCTTCTGATGTTTTCTGAATGGAGTTCCTTTTTTGACATTTTCACGGAACCAGAAACTAAAGACGGAATATTGCAGGACAGGATTTCATAAGTGTTAGTGTCACTTCAGCCTCAGGCTGGTTCTGCATGTTGATACTTTAGGATACTTCTAGTATATGAAAATTCATAAAATAATAGAAAGGGAACGAGGGGAGTTGAACTCTTGCCATTTTTACTCATGCAATGAACGGAAATTCAGCCACCTAGGTGGCCTTTTCTCAAAAAACGCCTAGTCGTGGGCAAGGCGGCATGCTCTAGGTGGGACCATCTTGGTGCTGCCTAGGCAGCATAAAAGTTGGGCGCCTAGGCGCCGCCTCCCCTAATGATGGAAAATGTCATTCGGGCAACGTCTAAAATCGTCATTTTACCCCCTTAAAATGGGGAAAAGGATTCTGGGGGGCCATTCTTGCCTCCAAAACATTTTTAGTGAAGTTTAGAGTGAGAAGCAACTTGGAAAAAAACAAGATTTTTAAGATTTGTAGAGAGCAAATTTGTTTTCGACTTCCTCGGATGGTCACGAAATTAAAGGATATTCATCGCCAATCTTTTTTAGGCTTATAGTGGTTGTTAAATAGGAGATTTGGGAACCCCAACATTTTGCTTTGGCCCGATATTGGTTCCACTTCAAGAAGGCTGGTACATTTCAATAGTTTTTATTACGTTATGCATTTTTTTCCCCACAATGTCTAATGATGTTATTCTTTGCTATTTGTATTTTTTTGTAATACTTTGTGATATAGGTTTGATATGTTATCGTCTATTTGGATTATTATTTTCGACTTCCGACTTCTTAACACTATATATATAAAACAAACTTATTAAATAAAAAAATGACAATTCTATATGAGGAGAAATAATGTTATATTTGTATTTTATTTATACATAGTATTCACATGGAGGTGTCTTGTGGTATCCGTTTTTTTGCTGAAGTACTGAACACCTTCACTGCCTGTAGATACACACGTGTTGGTAATGTAACACTATAATTGTACATACACATGTGTTGGTAATGTAACACTATAATTGTTGCCTTAAAATGAGAACAAAACTTTCTTGAACCTCCTGCAAATGCATCAAAGATGTTATTTTAGATTCAGTGGTGCATGAGATTTCATCAAATTATGCAAACCGATACTAACTAAGCAAATTTTCTCCTAGTCATCTATTACTGGAAATGTCATTTTTGGCCTTTAATTTATTTGCCTTAAAAATATGGAATTTATGTCAGCCTGATGAATGCTGTCTTTAAATTTATAGGCACATGAGGCAAAGATTACAAGATGCTAGCAACCTATTGCGCAAAAGAAGGAAACCACCTCTCACGGCCTTTGATATTTGGCAGGCCTACAGGGTTTCTCATATGCATCAACTTCTGATGGAGTCTTGGGTTCCCTGTAAGTTAATAATGTTCAGATTTTTTCACCTTCTTACTGAAAGTTACTTGCTAATTTCTGAGCGATTAATGCTGGAGTCCTCAGCGGAACTTTATATTTGTCAGCTATCTGTCTGGACATTCGAGCCATAATCAACGAAAGTTGTGACCTTCCCTCAAAGGGTAAGCGAAAATTAGAATTTCCAGAATCCAAAGAACATAGTGGGTCAGCTATTGGTCCTGAAGTTGAACATTGGACTGACCATACCAATATTCACCAATCAAAGCTATCTCATTCTCATATAAGAGAAGAAGAGAGCATGCCTGTGATTGTTGAGGAAGAGAGAGTTCACAAGCAACAGCCATGCAAAGCTTTTGATGGTGAGATTGAGGATCAAAGAAAGGCCGAGTCAGGGGCATCTCAGTTCAAGACTCAGTCAACTGATGCAACAGCAACAGAGCAACAGCTACCAGCTGAAGAGCTTTCTCTTAATTTGGAGGATGAGGTATGAAACCTTTATATTCTGTAGGGTGGTTTGTGCTTCAATCCTGTTATAGTTTTGTTTTTTATGAGTTCTGTTCCAGTAATAAGCAAAACTCAGGTTTTTCAATTCTTCCTCTCAAATATTGTAAGGGGAACTGCTGATAAGTGAAAATCTCTGTTGTAGGACTTGAATTCCTCTGTTGCTGAATCTAGAAGCACGGGTATGTTCAAAAGTCGTTGCACTCCCTCATGGAACATGGGATTCTTAAATTACTACTAGCTCATTATATGGTTGCAACAATCTCTTTTAAGAATAATTCTGCAGTGCTGAAAAGTTTGTCTTCTGTGAATAACCAATGGTGTGCATGTATGTCCAGTGGATGCTGGGTTTGCTAGTGTGTCCTCCAGGACTAGGTAATATATAGATGAAGGTTTATGGAACTTTCTTTGCTTATACTGGGACTTGTTTGATATGGTTATTGATGATTTCATAATCAGTTATGCCTTAACATGAGATTATGGTACAGGGTTGTGGCACAGTATCTACGGAGTGCCTTCCAATCTTGGAAACGAGGACCAAAGGAGGTTTTGAGCCTCAATGACACTCTCGAGGGAAAAACTAGAAGAGAGTGTGCGAAAATGTTCTTTGAAATATTGGTATTGTTCCTCTCCAAGTCGATTATATTTGTTTTGCTCTTGGCATAAAGTGATGGCTGGCTTAGCAAGTTGACTATGCATTCCCACTTAGGATTATTAGTTAATTATAGGTTATTTAAGTACCAGACTCTTACCGAATTTGTAATTACTTGAAGAAGGCTTTAGAGGATTTTGATATGTAGCTCCGAAAGTAAGATATTGTGGTTTTGTTCTTTTGTATTGGGTTCCACTAACTGAAAACTAGTTCTCTCACTGACAAACTTTCACTGTCCAGTGCTGACTTCTCCCATTTTCCCTCATCACATTCGAATCTTAAAGAATAACTGAAGTGAAACTTCATTTAATGGTTTCTTTTGTAGGTTCTGAAGAGTAGCGGATGCGTAAATGTGCAGCAGGAATCATCCTTTGGTGACATTCTTCTTTTTGCGACTTCCGCACTTACTGCAGTTTGAACGAGGTGGTTGTCTTACATAAACTTCTCTCTTGTTGCTTTATATTTCGAAATTTTCTTTATTTTTTTAAAATGGTTAGCTTGATAGTTGTAGTTGTCAACTATGTATCTGTAGTTTATTTGGATGGATGACGCAGATTACAACTTTGAATTTCTTTGAGAATGTCACAGCCATCATCTGCTTCCTTACATATTTCGCCCTTTATGCCCATCACGTTCGACTGAAATATGTTTATGTTTATACTTTGTAGGGTTTCCTCAAGGGTCAAAGGCTTTAACATGGATCTTAACAGGTTGCCGGTGTGCATATAACTTCGACATATGTTGCAAAGTACAAAGTACAAGGTAAATAGTTCAGGTTCTGAGTTGTATATATTCATTTGTAGATGATAAAATAAAGATTAGGTGCTTTTAATGTAGGAGCTGGCCATTGTGCAATGCATTGATTTCTCTCTTATGTAGTGAAGCTTTTTTCTTTTTCTAGTTGAATGTTTGGAGTGGGTCTGCTGTTGGAGAATTACTATGTCTGGGGTGTTGTTATTTAATTTGTAAAGCAATTTCAGGCATAAGTTACAAATTTCAGCCTTAATCAAATGACTGTTTTCAATGCTAAATTCGTATTCGGCAAAACAAATTGATTCTGTTCAATTCCTTTGGGAGGCAATTCTAGCAATCTCCATTTTTAATTTGCAAATGGATGATGATGTTTTTAGAGAATAAAATTGAAAAAATGACGGTTCTAGAGAATCATGGGATTTGTATTTTGTTTTTCTTTTGTTCTCTGGTTTGAACAGATCTATTTATAATTTATTCTCTTCTTAAACATAGATGCACAATTTACAATTTTGAGAAAACTGGTGGTGTGGAAGGGCATCACGACACATTACCTCGTCTTTGGTATGAAAACGGGTGTTCCCTACCGTGGTATTTGTTAAATTATTGAGTACCTGTTTTATATTCAAATATGAAAAATTCAATTGAGCTACTTTATAAGATAATCATTAATAAAGGGTCAGTAGTTGCAATCAATGTTTATCAACTTCGCTAGGGCTTTGGACGCAGCCCCGGTCCATGGCTAGACATTCGGTGAGTTACTGGGTTTGAGTGGATTTGGCCAAATAATGTACGCGCCATGAAGGCCCAAAAGATTAAAATTTTTAAAATTATTTTAAAATAAAATAAAGACATTATATGAGGAAAACATCAAAGGTCACATAAAAAAAAGCTAAAAAAAAATACATAGAATATGTATTTATAAAAAAGTGATAGTTGGAGGCATCTAAGGAAAATCCAAAAAAGAAAAAAAAAATATAAAATAGGGCATATGACAAAAAATATAAATTTTTTTTTGTAAAAGATGTCCAAATTATGTATATAATTCTTATTTGCTGAATATTTTAATTTTTTTTTTCCATTTTTTTGGCCCTTGAGTTGTAGCGAGTGCTCAGGTCATTGCCTAGCACAAGTCAAGTTAAACGAGTTTTGAGTCGCTCGGTCGAGTTGACTGAGTAGCCGAGTTCGGGTAACTCGACCGAGTAGACTTTGAGTAACTTGGCCGAGTGGACCGATAAGTTTACAAAATTTGCTTGCATTGGAGTGTGAAGGGTCCAGAAATAGTATTTAAGGAATCGTATTCGCTGAATATTTTAATTTTTTTTTCCAATTTTTTGGGCCCTTGAGTTGTACCGAGTGCCCAGGTCATTGCCTAGCACATGTCAAGTTAAACGAGTTTTGAGTCACCCGGTCGAGTTACCCTTTGAGTAGCCGAGTTTGGGTAACTCGACCAAGTCGACTTTGAGTGGCAGAGTTTGGGTAACTTGACCGAGGCGACTTTGAGTAACTTGGCCGAGTGGACCGACCAAGTTTACAAAATTTGCTTGCATTGGAGTGTGACGGGTCCAGGAATTGTATTTAAGGTTTTTTTTTTTTCTAGAGTATGTTTAACATTCAATAGGGGGGTTTGTTTGATAGCCGGAAGTAAGTTCATTAACTGTAAATTGGAAGTTTTTCGAATTGTAAATTAGAAGTTATTTTGGAAGTTCTTGGAACTGTTAATTAGAAGTTATTTAAGAAGTTCCTGGTTTGATAACTTCTTTTGATAACATGAAGTTAGAAAAAAGAAGAAAGAACTTTACCTGATAAAAGGTGGAAGATAATTTGAGAACGTTTTTTTACTGTAAAGTTCCCACCTTTTAGACTTGAGTAAAATTCCATGGTAAACCATAG